GCGTTGATTAAAAGGATCTGTTTTTCATGTATTGTTGTATAGGAAGTGGGATCCATTATCGGCAAAAAAGGAGATAACATCAAGAAGTTTCGCGAAGAGGTTTGTATTTGTATAGATGTGATGAGAGATGTCCGATGATTGATGATTGTACTGACCATTTGCATGGCTGTCCACCAGAGCGGTGCCAAAATAAACATCTCTGACGGCTCGTGTCCGGAGCGTATTGTCACAGTTACCGGTTCTACGGAGGCTATACTCAAAGCCTTCTCACTCATCGCCAGAAAGTTTGAAGAAGTATTCAAAACCCTTTGTAATCACGTGAACGGACTTTGCATTAATTGATTCCCTTTCGGTAAGGATGTCCAGAGCACCGGTGGTCCCGGTTCGCCACTAGGAAACAAGCCACATGTGACACTCAGGCTAATAGTGCCGGCCAGTCAGTGCGGGTCACTCATCGGCAAAGGGGGCGCAAAGATTAAGGAGATTAGAGAAGTATGTGATTCAATTGTCACCACTTATATGAATGTGAAATTAAATTTTTAATTATTGTCAATATCTCTCGTTTGACAGATAACTGGGGCCACAATCCAAGTGGCGTCTGAAATGCTGCCCAACTCTACTGAGAGGGCGGTCACAGTGTCGGGCAGTTCGGAGTCGATAACTAAATGCATTTATCAGATTTGCTGTGTTATGATGGAGGCGAGTGAACCATTTATCTCTCATTTCATATCCATTTCCAAATGATCTTCTAATCTGTTTGTAATTAACGAGTCAGCCCTCAGCCCTCCAATCGATTGTATGCTATTTTAATTTGGCATCAAAAGTAAATGTGAATTCATAATAAATATACAGTATTTTTAGTATTTGTAGTGAAATCAGTGCGAGTATTATGAAAGTGGATATAAGATAACACTGCGAACCTAACTGAGTGTTTGAGAGTTTCTCTTAGACTACAATATAATTAGATTTTCGTAAGACTTGCATACTTTGGAAGTGTTAGACAAACAAATGGCGAATACAGTTATACTTAAGAGAAACGGTGTCTTTATTGACATTATCTGTGATTATAGTGGAATCGACTCATGTGTGTATAAACTGTTGTATTGATTCACTATTTTCTCATTTGAAACATTCACTCAAAGAATTATTAGTTTAGACGACATTTTAATTGTCTTTTTTGATGAAATGTTCATATAATGTTTGTATTACAGTAATGTCACCAATGCTTTCATCACTATTTCCATTAAACTAACCAATTATTTGAAATTATCAATGAAAAACACTTTTATCATTAATGTTTCAAATAGATTATATCCATGAGATTTGCATCTAATGCAATTATACTAAAAAGTTTAAATGAGTTAATGATTATATTTTAAAATTTAAATAATTCATTTATAATTTATTATACAATAATCATAAAATATTGAACATTTTTGAGTTCAAACACATTTAATTACTGCATTAGATTTTATAAGTTAAGTACAGAAAATGTTTGTATAGAATAAATATAGTAATGATGACTGGAAGTAAACTTATAAAATATATATATATATACGGCTTAACTGTTATATTCATATTATTGTAATTTAGAAAAATGAAGAATTCCTTCTAAATCTTTTTTTTCATAATTCAGTCGTTTATTACAGAATTTAATATTTATTATAATTTTTCACGACGTTCTCTGACTTTGAATTTATTGTCTGGTTATTTGTGTTAATGTTTGCGAGTATTTTATGTGAAATTCTTGCTTCACATTAGAAAAGGAAAGCCTTGATTGACATGATTTGGAATTGCTATATATTTAATGGAATTTCCTAATAATAAATTGAAAGTTTTTACCATTTCGTAAGAGAATTGTATGGTGACAGACATTTAGTCCATAGGTTTTTATCTACTTTACCGGCGACTATAACATGAATTATATTTAGCCTACAATTGGCTTAAGAATAGTGTATTATTTGTTTAAAAGATTTCTATATATTGTTCAAAGTGAACTTCTAATCAAATAATCAATAAACAGTATTTACGGTACAGTGCCTTGATTTGCGCTAAACATTGAAATGTTTCTTATTTACAAATTATGCACAATTATATTATAGCTAAATTTGATTAGTAATCGAGTCGTTTCCATTTCTTAATGCAATCGGTTTTAATATTTTATGTTAATCATAGCGAAAGGAAAATTGTTGACAAAAAATTGGAAAAAGATTTTCAGTGGAAAAAAATGTTGTAAAAAATCGATTCACATTTTACAGGATTAGTGACAAAACGTTAGATTTGAAAAGTGAATCAATACATTCATGAATAGAGGAGTTTAGCAATCGATTGGAGTGAAAGTGTCCTTAAAAGAAACGACTACTGGTTCGCAACTCGTGTGTCTCTTTTGATCCACTCTTTGCTACTCTTATACTCTAAGAAGTATTGAATACGAGTATTGAATGCGATTCTTGAGTCTCTCTCTACTCTACTTTCTAGTGTACGGTTGTGTATGTTATAGTAGGGGAGCATTACTTTGCTTTGATTGCACTTATTCTCAAACCTGTCGATCGCTATATTTCATATTCTTGTGTGTATTTGGTGTGCATCTCATCATATGATACACAAAGAGAGACTACATTCAAACCCTTAGGCTTTCATTCGAGTCGACAGTCGACCCAAATCTATATCTTGAAACTTTTGAAAGAATAGATGGGTTTTGAGTTATGTTCACATGTGATGATTGCAAACACAACACAGGAGTTGAAAAATAAATAATGAAAACACTGAAAAACACAAGAATTTTATTATCACTGAAATCAGCGAAAATTGCGAAGAACCAGAAATTTAATTAAAAACTAAAAGCTTATGAGTGCTCATGAGTCTAACCTTTATTATACTGTATGACAATATGTACCCATTTGTGTCCTCAATTGTATTAATCTTTTTTTGCCGAGACTTGAAGCCTAAAAACATGAGTTACTCTCTATTTATCGATTAAATCTGAAAAATATTTGTTTTCATTTTTCTGGTTCTTTATTATTGTTTTTAATTCCCAAACATATTAGACA